GAATAATTGATTAGTTTTATCGATTTCATCGATTTTTTGCAAATTTAGAGTTGTAAGGCTGGGAGTTGGTACAGGTGAGTAGTTGGGCATGCTGATTACGAAAACAAACGGGGATAGGGAATGAACCTACTTCATTGAGTACAGGGAAAGACTGCACAGAGATAAGGATGATGACTTTTATTATAGTGTTTTGACAGGGCCGGGTGGAGCCGGTTACTATGCAAGTTACCCTAAAATCTCACAGATAAGTCCTCCCAGCAAATAAGTCCGTCTTCAGATAGGTCCGATTTTTGAATCAGTTACTCCCTTCAGATAAGTAAACCTAAAAATAAGTCCGTCTTCCTTACATTATAACTACCTTGACATTTTGTCAGATAACTCCAAGACTGTCAGATAAGTCCGGACTTATCTGATGAGAGGACTTATCTGCAGGATTCTTGGCGGTGCGAGGGTGCATTTTCATCGATTTTTCTTGTCAAAAAAGCGGACTTATCTGTAAGATTTTAGGGTAATAACCTTCATCACTTAACATGCATGGTGAGGCTGCGTTCATACTGATTCCCATGTTCTGGAACTGTTCCCGCACAGTTCTCGCACTGTGCTGAAACTGTGCGGGAACTGTGCGGGAACAGTTCCAGAACTGTGCTGCATGCGCTGCAGCCGCCCCGCACCGTTTTAAACGGCGGGATTTGGAGAATTTTGACCGTTCTCAACGGTTTTTCTTCCAGATTTCGCTCATTTTGGCCTTAATCCTCCACCCTGCTTCCCTTTTTGATCAGCAGCACTGCGAACTCGAAGCGAGGTTGAAAAATGAGCGCTTTTCTGCGCCGTGTATTCGGAAAGATGGGCTATCGTGCGATTGTTCATTCTGTCTTCTTGTTTTTTGCTCAAAACTACTTCATTTGTTCCAGGAAGCGGCTGCCCAGTTTCCATAGCCATCTGCCACAAATTAGGGAGTAGGAGAAATCCTGAAATTGCATGAGTTGGGACTTATCTCTTGTTTTTCATGATTTTGGGCGTTCTTAGCCTTGTTCGTTTTTCCATGTCGTTGCTTCTCCGTTCTTTCTTCTACCCCGCTTCTCCTAGTGATGAAAAAAGCTGTGAATTTGAAGCGGGGTTGAGGATTGAACGCTGTTCTGCTCCATGTATCCGGGAATATAAGCCTTCGTGCGCTCGTCCATTCTCTCATCGCTATTTTTGTTCAGACCTACTTCATGTGTTCTAGAGACTTTTCTATTTCAATTTCAATACGGTGCGAGACTACGCAGCGACTTGTTAGTACACATGAATAGGTCTGAACAAAAATAGCGATGAGAGAATGGACGAGCGCACGAAGGCCCATATTCCCGGATACATGGAGCAGAACAGCGTTCAATCCTCAACCCCGCTTCAAATTCACAGCTTTTTTCATCACTAGGAGAAGCGGGGTAGAAGAAAGAACGGAGAAGCAACGACATGGAAAAACGAACAAGGCTAAGAACGCCCAAAATCATGAAAAACAAGAGACATCATGCAATTTCAGGATTTCTCCTACTCCCTAATTTGTGGCAGATGGCTATGGAAACTGGGCAGCCGCTTCCTGGAACAAATGAAGTAGTTTTGAGCAAAAAACAAGAAGACAGAATGAACAATCGCACGATAGCCCATCTTTCCGAATACGTGGCGCAGAAAAACGCTCATTCTTCAACCCCGCTTTGAGTTCGCAGTGCTGCTGATCAAAAAGGGAAGCGGGGTGGAGGATTAAGGCCAAAATGAGCGAAATCTGGAAGAAAAACCGTTGAGAACGGTCAAAATTCTCCAACTCCCGCCGTTCAAAACGGTGCGGGGCGGCTGCAGCGCATGCAGCACAGTTCTGGAACTGTTCCCGCACAGTTCCCGCACAGTTTCAGCACAGTGCGAGAACTGTGCGGGAACAGTTCCAGAACATGGGAATCAGTATGAACGCAGCCTAAGGCCACATGCTCCACAAATTGATCAGAAGGTGCGCACCCCATACTAATTTCCAGATCTCCACTGAAGAGCACATGTATTGGAAGTCAGGGCGACCTTCATTACGAGAAATTGTATTACCTTCTTGCAAACAGCTAAGTTGCCTAACTGAATCACTAGTGAATATGTTGTTGTGTTTAGGCATAGACTTATCGAAACCAACCCATCAAAGCAGGGGCGCGAAATTTATCCTAGACTTTATGCACAAAAAATCTTGTGTTTTGTTTCCTTGTCTTGTCTTGAATCTTGTCTTTTATCTTGTTTTTTCTCTTTGCAGACCCCGAATAACAAGGAAAATGCCAGGACATAAAAAATAAATAATCTTGTGTATACTTTTCACTTCACCTCAGATTCATACTTTTTAAAGCTAAGCTATAGTTATAGTCGTCCTCCCCCCACAAGACACTCAGTGGACGAATTTGAATTTGAGCAGGAGCAAATGGCTAGCGTCGGAGCGCGGCAGACGCCGCCCCAGTCAAAGTGTGCGCATAGCTGTTTTTTCATTTTTCTTCATGTTTCTTTGTTGTTATTCTTATTGCGGCAATGTGTCATATTAGATTCGAAATTTTGCTACCGGTGATCGTTGTTTCATGCTGTTAATATCGTTTGCCTTACATTTTTTCAGGTAATTCTTGATGGGATGTCGCTTATCGCCTTTTCCGGTATATAGGAACATGCACAAGCGTTGCTTTCGTGAATTGTGAATCAAATTCTCAATTGGGTGTGCTCTTCATACTTTTTTCAGACCTGAATCTTTTCAAGAAGTGTTGGTGAGTTTTTTGGATGATGCATATTTGTTCTGTGTGCCAATATCCGTGCCATGTGTATATCCTTAATTGCACGTAAGCGTAAGTTTGTTTGTTTAGCGCTTCCCTTCTCTGTGAGAAAGTGAATTTCTAGCCCCTAGTCTTTACTGCGTCGTATTTCGCGCTTTACCTGAAAAAAATATAAGGCAAACGATAATAACAGCATGAAACAACGATCACCGGTAGCAAAATCTCGAATCTAATATGACACATTGTCGCAATACGAGTAACAACAAAGAAACACGGAGAGAAATGGAAAAACAGCATATGCGCACACTTTGACCGGGGCGGCGTCTGCCGCGCTCTGACGCTAGCCGTTTGCTCCTGCTCAAATTCAAATTCGTCCACTGAGTGTCTAGTGGGGGGAGGACGATATAAATCCATGGAAAAGTTAGCAAGGCGAAATATCACAAAATCAAAAACTTGGATAATTTGGTCTCTTTCACCATCGTAGCATTCTCTTTTCATGAAAAAAAAAAACGTAAGTAGCTATAAAGCAAAAAGATGGGAGAATTAAAACGACAAAAACTCAAACGCTTTTTGTGCGCCACTCTAAATAGCTGCGCAAACCTTTAACACTTGAAGCTGGATCTATTCTATAGGATATGTGAATATTGAATCAACTGAATAGCTGCGCAATTATCTCCCGGAAGTAAAAGCTAAATCGTAGCTCATCAGTCCAAATGAAAAATGGAAGGCCGTGTATCACCTCCCATAGCTGGCTACTACAATTGGAACATAATTAGAACAATTCTGCGATGGTTTCTCACGTTTTGAAATCGTAGATCACACGACTCGCAATCCAAGAATCATAAATTAAACAACATTTTCGCATATTTCTAACAAAGTAGAGTCGAAGAAGTCGCGGAAATTGTAACTTACCAACATCCGCCTTAGCTTACAACTGTATTGAACGGTACTCAAACGTTGAGGAGAAAAGTAGGTGCAATCATATTAGAGCTCAATATAGAATTCCAAACTTTGCGCAAACGCGTACCATGATGGAATTGAAAAAAAAATCAAAGCCATTGTAAAGTGCAACTGTATTGTCACAAACTCAACAAAGGTTTTCAAGCTCGCTTGATTAGCTTTGTTTTGCTCTCAAAACAAATTACATCTGAATATCTCAAAGAAGTCATCACTTCAAATCTTTGCCGTTTTCACCAAGAGCCAGAAAGTTTGTGCAAAGATTGTCCGTTGATAGGTCAGATCTATCTGACTCATTAAATCTGTTAGATCATCGCGAAAGCGCTTTTGTTTTCAATTTGATTGAAGGGACGCTAAATTTCGCAGAAAGCAATGAAGGATAAATCTGATACCAACCGATTTTCTTTCTTCCTAGAGAACAAATTTGACTTAAGAAACTCAGAAGAGCGTTTGCATAAATACTGATTTGCAGCGTGTCATTTAAACCCTCGTTCAGAATTCGAATTTATTCCTTTTCATGCGTCAGTTTTCTTCGTGGTACTAACTTTGATGGCAATTTTTTGTCAAGAGAAAGCCCGAGCACTGCATATGAAGCTTTTTAGTAAAGAGCACACATCTTCGATCACTCATCAATGGGCGTGAGAAAAACTTCTTTCAACCAAGCTCTGATTAAGGGAGTCTGTGAAAAATGTCTGATCTTAATTGCAGAAAGGACCAGAAATCTTTTTTACAGCATTGGCCTACAGTACTCTTTCCTTTACAGGATGAGACTTTTACTGCTGAGTCGTGCACATATTGAAGAGACGGTTACGAAAAGCTTGACATGTGCCAGCTTTGAATCCTCAAGGATGAAACATTTCTGCTTCTCAAACAAAAAGTTTGTGCTCCGATTAAAGTGTGTGTGGGCATGACTACATATATATCACGCCATAGTTATAGGTATTTTCTGAATTTCCTGGAAGGAAAGGTGGTGGGGGAGTGCATTTTGAACTTTTAGCAAGCATCAGTATTCTTGAAGCTAATCTAATCTTTTTCAGAATGTGAAAAAAAAATTCAGCGAAGCGAGACTGAAAACGAGTTGTTTGCATAATTTTATGGCTCATTTGAGAAGGAGGGAAGCTTATGCTATTTTTTGTTAGAAAAAATGTGTGATAGAGTTAGGTAGCAAAAAGCCGAACTTGCTGCCCTGCACTGCGTTTTCTGTTCTTAATAACAAACTAGCCAAACACTTGAGAACGTTATCTGAAATGCGATGACCCTGATAACAGCACTTTGGTGATGTTGTCCCTGCTTTATTTACAGCTCTGCCTCTCAGTGGTTTTTGCAAAATATCAGGTGTGTCGGTTCAAAATTGTTTCTATCATTTTTTTGTTCAAGGGCCAAGAGCCCGTAATAATAAACTTACTCAGCCAACATGGCCCTCTCTGGATTCTCGACCACTCCCGAGCTGGTATGACGAGTCGAAGTTCGGCATATTTTGCCACTGGGGAGCCTATTCAGTACCAGCTTATAAGGAGTAATATGTTCTTTTGAGTTTGCAGAAAGTCAATTTAAAATTATTTGTGAAGATCCGCATGGCTTTGGTGGTACTGGAAAGGCGGTAAAACCGACAAGGACGTAGTTAGCTACATCGAACGTAATTATAAACCAGGCACGACGTACGCGGATTTTGCGAGAGATGTTGGTATTTTGCGAAATTTCCATTTCGCTAAATTTTTCAACAGCTGATATGATGAGAGTTTCAGTTTACTGCTGAGCTATTCGACCCTAAGGAGTTTGCAGACATCGTGAAGTCGTCCGGAGCAAAGTGCGTAAGTACTGCTCCAGATTTATTTATATAGTCTCCTCATTTCAACAGTAACTTTGTGCAATTGCACTTTCTGACTTGGCACTGGCCTCGAGATGCGGCACTAGCTTCCTACTTAATGCAGACTTTTTTGTAACACTCAAATTTTTTACTGTTTGATGCTGTTTTTGTTAACAAGAATATGCCTGTGCAGCTATAGTCGCTTCCAATGCAGTTTCAAAAACTGTGCGATTACATAAAATGACTGCTGAGGCGAAAGCAAACGAGACCTCACCTTTATGCAGTTTTTCGACAAAAGCTTTATATCTAACAGAGAAATTTTATCATGCCACTGTTCACAAAAAATGTTCTAGGTATTTTGTTTTAACTAGCAAGCATCACGAAGGATTCACATTGTGGCCAACGAGAACAAGCTGGAATTGGAACTCCGTCGACATAGGTCCAAAACGCGATATTGTCGGTATGCTAGTCATTTCACCCTCACTCCCGCGTGTGACATCTCTAAAAAATCATTTAGGGGAACTCAGGGATGCCTTTAAAGGGACTGACATTCACTACGGGCTTTATTTCTCACAATTCGAGTTTTTTCACCCACTTTATCTCGACGATAAGAAGTACAATACTACAGCCTATGTTGAGGTTTGTTTCAACTTATGCTATTGCACGGTATGAAATTGATAAGATTCAGCAAGTTTCTTATCCACAACTGTTGGAAATAGTGAATCGTTACAAACCGGAGGTAGTCTGGAGTGACGGCGATTGGGAGAAAAGCGATGAGTATTGGAAGAGCAAGGAATTTCTGGCTTGGCTGTATAACACCAGGTAGATATGGACTGTGGCCTCCAATGCACTTAAAACCTTTCACATTTAGTCCTATAAAAGACAACGTTGTGGTCAATGATCGTTGGGGTCAGGGCTCGATCGGCAAGCATGGAGGTTTTCTAACATTTTCTGATCACTTCGATCCAGGTAGGTTCACAATCGAGACATTCTGATTGCTAGCTAGATCGCTGTTTGAATGGAGCATACTGTTAATGAGGGCATGAACATTGGTTTTATGTCATTTTCCACCTCAGCGAAAAGTCTAGATGGAACGAGTTACAATCAGTTCGACGAAATAAACCAGCATAATATGACCTTTTTTGCACGTTATTTCTGCCCATAATCTAATGCAAACTCACCTTTAGAGGCTGTTATAGTGAGATCTGTATACATTTTCTATGAAAACACCACTTTGACCAAGTATCTTTCCTTGTAAGCAAATTCCTCAGGCAATAGTTCACTCATTCAAACTTGCCCTCCATTTACATCAGACACTTGAGACTATCTTCAGTTCGATTTTGTAGTGCTTCATCCATTGAAGGAATTACCGCGATGTGCAGTTTTGACAGGGATTTTTTCAAAAGTGTTTGGAGTGGAAGTACCCTAAAATTACCTGCGAAAATTTCGCTATATCAGTCTAGTAGATATTCTCTTGATTTGAAATATTCAGCAAATAGTACAGGTGTACAATAAGTTAGTGATTGTATGAAATTTTATATTAACATGTCTCATAACTAATGCACATTTTTTAAACCTTTTTTATTGGAAGAGCTGATTTTCAAGGAAAACTCATTTTTCTCCAAAACCCTTTATGTTTTCTAAAAGCCTGATTCTTCTAGTTTACAATATGCTCTTTGGTTTTTGCAAATCTTTTTTCAAACCGAATTTTGATGCCTTCAAATACAAGTGGCTAATAGTTAAAACTGCTTTCCTTTACTCTCCTTGCTCTGAATCTATGAAAAATGGTCAGAGTTCCTTCAAAAAACATGCCTAAAGAATGCGAAGTTTTTTGCTACAAAAAGCGTATCAATGTTAGATTCTTGAAAAATCCTGAGCCGAGAAATCTTGGATCAAACTCGGCTGGTCGCTGAGGCCCACATATGCTTCATAACTATCTCAAGCAGAAAGCGATTGTACAACTTTCCCTATGTACACATAGATTGGACCTAGTAAAACTAATGATAGAAAAACGGCAGCATTTCTTCGTCTTTTAGATTAGAAAAAATAGAAAAATCACGAACAGTCAGTCTTTTGAATTTCCAAAACGTGGAAAAAGTGGTTACTTTTGATTTTTTTTGCAAAATTTTCTCTCACAAGAATGCAGTAGAATCCAAACTTCATCTCACTGCACAACCGGCCATCGGCTATGTAATGAGCGAAGTTTGCGCGATCCTAGTACATTTGAGAGCAAGTTAAGCTCTCTCAAAGTGTAGGTTCCTAAAAAAATCTTTTGGAATTTCTCGGGCAAGAAAATCTTTCTCCGAATGGCTACGACTAACAAAAGCATGCTTTATATAGAAAAAAAGTTTGTTGTTTGCAACAGTTTTTATCGCGCTGAAAAAGTTGGTTTTGGAAAAGAAATATGTTGATCAGAATTTGAAAATCAAAGAATGTGCATCAATTATGAGGCAACCTAATTCAAGCTTGATAATCAATCCGAGCAAAATAGCATCTTTAGGCTAGCAACGGCAAATACGGCTTCAATAGTAAAAGAAAAGCAAGAACCAGGGCTCGGCACAGGTGGCTTATAAGCACCTGTGCCGAGCCCTGGTTCTTGCTGCTAAGCTTATAAGCAAGCTGGATATCGTTTTTGGGACAAGAAGCAAAGGGGTTTCGTTTTTGTGGCCGAAAAGACACAAAATTTGCGACGTTTTTTCTTTCGACTTTCCGTTTTTTGGAGATTTTGAGGGATTATGGTCTAGAGTCAGAGATGACTTCGTTTTTTGCATTTTCAACTAGCCAACTCGTGCCGATTGCAAGAACCTTTGTATCAACCTTTTAATTCTGATTGGCACGAATGACTCCGCTAGACAAAAGCTTATATCAGACTACTGCTTTTACGGCGCCTCTAGGGCCCGTATGCACGTACATCCCCGCGGGGAGGGGATGTGCGCTTAACCATTGAAATGATCCCCGCTGGGGCTCCCCTCCCTTCCCCACGCGAACCCTCGTATGCAGAAAGACAATACCCGAGAGGGGATCCCCTGGGAGTAGGGGAGGGGAGCCCCCTTATGCAGAAGGGGAGATCGAGCGGGGAATTCATTTTGCTTCCGCTTTTTTGCAGTAATTATTCCTTTTCTTCAATCTTTTGATAGCTACTCGCCTTCAATGTGTCTCGGCAATATTTAGTCGTTGCGGAATGCCGTCCGAGGTGATTGCGGTCGGCGCACTAAAGAAATATTTCCTACATTCATTGTATTCCAGCTGTTTTCATGGATGCTGCTCATTCTCGCTCATGCTGCCCATTTCAGCGTAATGATGTTCAATAATAGAAGTCAAGGTGTATCTGCAGTGAATGGGTAGAAGACGTTATGCTGCCGAAAAAAAAGGGGGGGGGGTGCTGCGGACATTTAAACCAGCATTTCTACACATAACTGAAGCTGCAAATCGTGCCAGCTCTCCATAAACGCTGTAGCTATCAGCTGCATATCGTCTTTTACCCCAGGGGAATGATCCCCAGCGGCCATCCCTGCTATGCACGAGGGGAACGATGTGGAGGGGATCACTCCCCCAAGGATCTCTACTCAAAAACACGCGAGTCTGCTAATTTTTATTTTATTCAAATCAGTTTTATGTTAGGATAACAAGATAAAGACAATTTATCATATAATGTGATAGTTACAATATGTTGTACCAGCCTTAATGGATAAAATTATCATGTCAAATAAAAAATGCGCAACTCTCGTGAATGGTCACAAACTTCTACAGATATTCGAAACTGACAGATATATGTCCGGATTTCTTTATAAGAAGCGAATGTGGAAGAAAGAGTTAAAACTGCAAGCTACAGGTCGCTGAGAAAGGAACCCGGCTCCCGTAGAAAATCTTTCATCAATTTGAACAAAATGCTTCGTAATAATTGATTGAAATCAGAATACTCGCTTCTCTGGCTTGACCTACACCATCGAACCCCTACTCCGTTGTAGGGATGTCGATCCCCTCCCCCGCGTTGTTGAGTCAAATTCGCGCATATGGGGTTCGAGTGGGGGAGGGGAAGGGATCCCCTCTCCATTCGAACCCCGTATGCACTGGTGTTCGCTCGATCAATACCTCTGAAACCATTCACGCCATCCCCGCTTAGGTGCAGGGGAGGGGATCGCTCCCCTCCCCTCTGTCATGGCGGGGTTCGGCGGAGGGGATCGTTCCCCTGGGGATCCAGCTCCCCTCCCCTCCCCAGCGGGGACGTACGTGCATACGGGCCTAGAAGTATTTTGATGTGTCGCTCAGAAAGCAGAAGATTGAGCCATAGTCATCCGGAATTTATTGTTTTGCTATAATAACTGAACACTGTCTGAGTCCATAATTTCCTCAGATGCGCCGTGATACAGCCATTTTTGCTTCAATATGAGTCATAACTCGCTACATTGCGGATATGGGAACCATTTCTCTAAACTTCCATTACCAGTCATGACAACGCAGCTTTTCACTTTGTTCGCGTACCTTCCAACAATATAAGATCTTTAAAATGCAGGTAAATTAGTGGCGAGGAAATGGGAGAATTGCATGACATTGGACAAATTAGCATGGGGATCTAGACGAACAATGAAGGTAACATGATACCTCATTTGTAGATATTAGGTGCTACACAACTGATTATTTAGAGCAGCGATGTGCATACTGTCCACGAACTTGTTGAGCAATTGGCGAGAACCGTATCATGTGGCGGGAACCTTCTGCTGAATGTTGGTCCTGACATGCATGGCAAGATACCTCCCATTTTTGAGGATCGTCTAAGAGAGCTGGGCAGGTGGGTGGAAAGTCATGAGAAAATCTCATTCAACGCAGCATTCCCCAAATCTTCGTCTTCGTCTTTGTTTTGGGGCCTATCCGTGGCCCTGATTACATATACGATATGCAAAGTGTGCTCCCCCCCCCCCTCTTCCAAAGAAAAGCCATAAAAGCCCTATTTTGGGGTACAAACGACTTTCAGTATTTGGTTAAGCGGAACTTAGTAGAGAATGTGGGTTCATAGCACTTCCGCGGGTTCTAGGTCCATTTTTTCCCATTCAGGCGACACCTACAAGACTGGCTAACGCAAATGTCGGAGTAGAGGACTATATGCAGTCGAAAAGGGGAGGTCCAGGGGTCCTTTGTAACAATTACGCACCCTTGCATATGCACGGAGATGCGTTCCTGCCAAAAATTCGCGCAGGACCATTCACATAGGCGACATATAGTCCTCCACCCCAAATGTCCTAGGACCTTTTTATGGACTGGGTACTAATGGGGAAGCGTGAATTTGCATACGCTGCCTTTGAACAAATTGTAAAATCATGGAAGTCCTAGTGGGTGGGGGGGGGGGAATCGTCAAGTTTTTGTTAGTAGTCTACACAGGTCATCTAAGTAGATTATTTTTGTTTTTCAACCACTTGTAAATACTCGTTGAATTCACAAGACCGCGCGTCTCTTCAGAGGTCAGGATTTGCAAGCCTGCGAAAGCTTCCCAAAAACATTCTTGAGGGAGGAGAGGGGGAGGGAGGGGGGGGGGAGAGGAGGGGAGGAACTATCACATTTTTCCATTTTTACTATTTCTTTCCAAATAATATAAAGCCTCCCGTAAAGTACCATCTGCCGGATTGAAAATTGCAGAATTTAGACTCATTTTACTTTCAGCTAGGTGTTCGGAGTAAGCACCTAATCAAATCTTGTAGGCAATTTCAGGTTTCTAAACGCCAGTTCCGAAGCCCTATATAGGACAAAGCCATGGATTCACCAGAACGATAGCGGAAATACTTGGTAGGACTATTTCTAACATCATTCGAATCGAATGTCAGATTTTTAGGTACACGTCTCGTATCTCATCAGCCACATTACCGAAAAACAGGCTATACAATCCACAAATTGAAGGACAAACCATTGTTTATGCATGGGTGTTAGATATGCCAACTAAAGATTTGGAACTGAAGATGGTCAAAACTACGGAGAGGGTATGGTTCCCTATAATTACAATTTACCCCTACATTGTCTTTTCCTTACAGACAAAGATCACCTTTCTTGGCACCAACGTCTCATTTGAGCCAGGAGCCAGATCCACTCTCTTGGTCAATTTCAACAGTATTCCATGGAGGCAACTGATCCGCAATGATGTTATGGTCTTGAAAATTGAAAACGCGGCTTCACAAACGGTAAGTTGGCTTATTGCCCTGTTACGGAAATCTAGAGTATGTTTTCAGCTTGGATCGAACATATATGAGCGAAGAAGCAGAGTCAGAAGACTTCTCGATTTTAGTTGGTCGTACGATGCATTTTGATAGATTGGATGTACAAAATACATATTTTCACATATGGCCAATGCGTTACCACTTTGACGCAGTTATTCGCTTGTTCTGTACGACTTTTCATTTTTGAGTTTTCGAAACTTGGAACGCGCTCGTGCTCGACTAGAGAAATTTGACACGAGTCCAGAAATGGTGAAAATAATGTTTCCTTAAAAGGCAGTGGCTCGGAAGAACGAAACATCTCGAAATACTTATATGGAATGTTACTTGCACCTTGAACATGAGAACGAAGCAGATTCGATCGCACAGCATGCTGCTCCTGCTTAGAAAATTGGCCCTAAACCTGTGCACGCAAGCCATTCTTACACGCGCTCGGACGAGTTTGCGATATCTCTCATACTGTCAGACGGCATGCCGCAATGCTATGGGCATGAGGGTTTCACAACGACTCTACATCTTTAACCATAACGGGAAGCGTTCCACTCGTCCAAATTGAAAATGAGCAGCCTTGGGAAGGCTGATTTTCGTCATCGCGATCTTCGGATTGGGTGGATTTTCGGAATCAGCGCGTCTGATTACCCCAGGTATGTGAAAAACCCACAGTTCGAGGATTTGCCGAGCCACTGCTTTTAATTCATGGTAATTACCATGATGAAGAGTTTCACCAATTTTCATCCGTCAGAAGAGGGTATGTCTACTGTTTATTCATCGGTATGCTGGCTCAAGAACTTACGACACACACTGTGAGCAACGGCGAACCGAGGAGACGGGGACGGGGAGGGGGGTGGGGCTGAAAGGCGAAAATGGATTGCGAAATTATTAAGATGCTTACAAAAGTTGTAAAAGTGCGCAAGCAGCTTGTTTTCATTGTGAATGACTAAATAATTCTTGAAAATTGTAAAAATCTTGTGAAAAAAATTTTCGGGCGCTATGCACCCTAACAAAATTTGGAAAGCTTCCCAAAAATCTTTTCCGAAGGCGTCGCTCATGCCAAGCCTCTTCAGTCGAGAATATTTTGTCACCCCTTCCCTCCTCCTCAAGAAAAATGTTTCTCGGATCCCTACTAAACGAGAGGAAAAAGTGCTGTCACGACTCGAACCTAGAATGTGCTTCCTGAACACACAACCATTTATTTACATCCAAGCCCGTATTCCGCATAACGCTCTCGAACAAAAATCTGAGCGTTTTGTGAATCCATGTGAGCCAGTGGCGGACCGTGAGGGGAGCGGGGGAGAAGGGATTCCCTAGAATGGGTTACCGAATTTTTTTAAGTTACTTACATCAATTTCAAAAATGTGCAAGTTGACTTGTTCATATCAATTGTAAATAATTATGATAATTCTCAAAAATTTTCGAAAATTTGATTTAGTCTCGTACGAAAAAAAATTTTTTGGATGTTTTATGTTGCTGTTGTTGTTGTTGTTGTTGTTTTATGTTGTTCCTTTTCTTCTGTTTTCACGCATTGAATGCAGGGCAGATGTGAGTAAAATAAGTTTCGTCAATTTTAGTGAAGCATTTTACTACATGGTGCGGCAAAAGTCTGGGAGCCTAATTTTGCAGTATTGCAACTACAAAGATACTGATGGTTTTGATTTCAATTTTTTGCCACACAATGCTGCGGTCTTCCTCTACAGAACACACTTTGTTTGGTTGGAAATGGCTGCCACATATTTTTGTAAGAATGAAAATTACCAAACTAGTACTTTTGCAAAGCGAAAAAACCAGAATTTTCAGTATTTACAATTTTTGCTGTAGCTAGAGATGCTGTTAATATTTTACAAAACTTCGATGCACACAACATAGAAGAGGATTAGCGCTATCGTATCCTAGTTTTTCTTTTGCCAGGAGCTGTTCTTGCATAAACGGAAAATAAAAGTTTGCGAATGTTACCTACGTGCCAGTGGAAATCCGTTTTCAGAACAAATTTAAAAGCTATGGAATGCTCAACAGGCACTGGGACCAAGGCTGTTTTTTTGCATACGTCTTCTAAATTAGAATCTGTTGAAATTCTGCCATGGAAACACTTTTTATACTTTTTAAACGATAATTCTAAGTTTTTATTCGCGCAATTGTAGCTTAAATTCCGGTATGCGACGTATGCATGCTTCTAATTGAAAATCCAATATTTTTATTTCTGAGCAATGCAAGAAATTCTTTTGGAAGCATGTTGTAGATAAAAGCTTGCTCTATCGTGCTGCACATTTGCGAAGGTAAAAGAAGCAGTTATTGTGAAGGCGTGGGGCGAATTTCATTACGACTACCTGCGTGCCATGACACGTGGACTTGTCAAGATTTTGTAGGGCTGCGTGGAAGCCAAAAGAGGCAGTTTTGCATTTCAAGAACTGGGCCGTATCTACAATAGTTCGAATTATGTGTGCGCCAAATTTTTCGTTTCTAGGTACTTCCCTTCTCGTATTGTACGAAAAAGTATAAGGCTACCAGACTTTTGCCGCACCCTGTAAGTGACAAATAAAGATTCCAAGGAACTCATGTTTCTGATTGCAGCATCGTTATCTATGACTTAATAATAACGGGCTAAGGGTGTTTACGTCTGTTTGTCTGTCTGTCTGTGTGTACGTCTGTCTGTCACGAAATTCGTAGAGCGACTTCCATCAAAGATCCTGAGCTAAAATTTTGGTCATAACACCCTATCAGCATGTAGGTAAACTGTGCAAAAGCACAAGCCGATCCGATTAGTGGAACCTGTGAAAACTGAGCGCCAAACGGGTCCGCGCGACTTTTGGTCCGCCAAAATCTGTCGGTAGTTGGGCTTTTTGCAAAGTCGTGGATTTGTTCAGCAAGTAAATCCGAAAAACATTGACTTCAGCTCAAAAAGTAAGCAGAAAGTCAATCTTTACACAAAATTGGCGCCAAAAAGATGTAAGTGAGCAAATTGTCGATTTGCCAAGAATTTTCTATAAAAATTGAGAGGATTTTTGAATAGATATGTAGCCCAAAGTGGTGTTTATCCTTATGGCGAATATAAAGCCAAAATAAATTCAGTAACCCATTCAGAATCGCATTTGTTTTTCTGCGGGAAAATTTTTTCTCCTGAAATTACCAATCTTACATGGAAAAGCACTAAAAATGAATGGTTGTTTACAATTCATTCGTGATGTTCAGCATAGCGCGGTGAGTTTCAAAGTCATTATTATGCGATCACGAAGAAGGCACGGATAGTAGAGCCAGTGCGAACCTCTGCGAAGCAGAGGTGACGCACTGGTTAATAATAACGGGCTAAGGGTGTTTACGTGTTTTTGTTGTGTGTGTAAGTCTGTCTGTCACGAAATTCGTAGAACGTCTTCCAGCCAACCTCCTGACCCCATATTTTGCACAGCGCGTGCTACCAACATGGGAGTCCACTATACAAAAGCATGGGCGAATCCGTTGTGTGGAACCCTCAAAAAAGGCGCGTCAATCGGGTCCACTTGGCTTTTGGCCACTAAAGTTGAGCCTGTAGCACAACTTTTTGCAAAGTCGCTTTTATGTTTGAAAAGTTAATGTGCTAGCCATGGACTTTAGCCGAAAAAATTGAACTAAAGTTCATTACTTTGCGAACACGGCGCCAAAAAGGATTGGTTGCGTACATGTTCAATTTGCCAAGATCTTACCCAATCATTTAAGAAAATTTCTGCACAGAGTTGTAGCCCACGGTGATTATTGTATCTTATTACCAATCTTACATGGAAAAGCACTAAAAATGAACGGTTGTTTACAATTCATTCGTGATGATCGGCATCGCGCGGTAAGTTTCAAAGTCATTATTATGCGATCATGATGAAGGCACACGGATAGTAGAGTAAGTGCGAACCTCTGCGACATCAGCATAATCGGATCCTGGGATATACTCAGTTTTGACCCGAAAGCTTAGCGAAAGTACAAAAAATGGGTCGCGTCAGTTGACACCCGAAAAAGTTCCATCAAGATAAAAAATGTTGCAAATGCGTAGCGGCCGTTGTCTCAGAATCGAAAACTCGCTACGTGTTCTGGATACACGTTCGGTGGCCCAGAACCACAAAGTCGATTTCATTGGGAGACGCGGAGCTTTCAAGCTTCAAGATTGCCTCTTTGGCCTCAAAGCAGTCCTTCGAAATCTTGGCAAGTCCACCTTTCACGGCACGCAGGCAGTCGTGATGAAACTCGTCCCACGCCTTCACGATAAGCGCTTTCACTGTGCAAATGTGCATTATAATAGAGCAAGATTTGGCTGAATATATTACGAAGAAACTTCTTTTACTTTATTTGAAAAAGACAATTTCGGATTTTAAATGGACGCAAGAGTACTCGCATACTTGAAATTTGGATGCGATGACGCCAGGAAGACGGAAAATCATAATCCAAAGAGTTTTGTAATCGCTCCATTGATCGAATTCATATAGATGCTTTTACAAAAGACGCGTGGAAAGAATAGTTTAAAACTCAGTACCTGCTGCCCTCTTGTAGCTTTCGAATTTGTTTTACAGAGAATTGGCTTTTGGCACGCAGTTATAATAATATCAAGTTGGCTAAATAAGTTCGGTCGCTTTTTCAGCTCTTACAAATGCCGTAGATAAATTTTTGTCCAATCTTGGTATCTCCGAAAAGAGCATTTCACTGGGTATTGGAGCATATATTCTGTTTGAGTAAAACTTGTCTTCCCCAGGAAAGAAATCCACAAAGAAGTGAAAAATTGCAATTTTCTCATAATGCGCAAAGATGGAAAATTTGGTTTTTTTAGTGAAACATTTTCAAAATGGCAGATCACAGTTCTTTTTGTTATTCACTAAATAGGGATAACTCCTCTGTATTTAGACACTAAACGGCTGTTCTTTACATCCATTACAGCATGAAAACGAACTCAAGAAATCAAAGAACTGAGCTTTTGGAAATTTCGCCATGTTGAGGCATAACTGTCTTTACTGACGATAGAAAATCCTGAATATTTGATATGTGATAGAAGAAGCTTCGAACTACTTTCCCACAAGGAATCATAGATTAAAAACAACAGGAAAATTTTTTATGATTTGTATGCCAAAACTAACTTACTTTCTAGCCAACTTAATATTTGCAGATAATTGTTTTTTTGCGTTTTTTGAAGATTGAATCCTTGCAAACGCAACACTGCGATGTGATAGCGCAAAATCTCCTCTACATTGTATGCATCGAGGTGTTGTACAATATTCACAGTATCTTTAGCTACGAACTAAATTGTGAATATAAAAATTTTGATTTTATCGCGTTTCGACGGATATATTTCCTTCAAAGGCAGCCTGATGGCTCGGATTTACACTGGCTATGGCTATTTATATATAAAGATAAATGTCTGTCTGTATGTACGTGTACTCCGAATAGAAAATTCCATTTCTGAACCGAACCGGACCAGACTTGGCACACATTTACTTCGGGGCCGGTTGGGTGTCATAAGCTACTTCTCGTCATCGATCGGTATCGATTTTATCGATTTTTATCGATTTTTTGCAAAGTTCGACCTACGGGGCTGGGAGTTGGCACAGGGGGTAATCGAGCATGCTGATTACTAACACAGCAGGAATAAGGATTTGGCATGTAGAATTGGACACAGGGAAAGGTTGTACAGAGGCAGGGATAAGACCTTTACCGTAATGTTTTGGCAAACCGGATAAACCAGCTAGTTATAATTATAAGGAAGAAATACATTCACCAACAACCTATATAAGTGTCTTTGGAACCTATTTCGTGGAACGTGCGCCACAGAACGCTTGACAAACCGCACATTCAAACTCTCATAACTCCTCCCAGACGTCGCTTGGTACACAGTGAACATATATTTGTGATCAGCGTTTCAAGACGAGTCCGATATACAGCATGTTTGGTATGGCTAGCTTAAGTTTTGACCATTTCCTGCTCAGCTCGTCGAAAGCATCATTTGCCACATAGAAGTGCCCATTTGGATACGGTACGTGCACGACAGACGGACAAATTTAATAAATTTTTGCCACGGTGGGTTTTAGTGTGCACAACGACTAACCTGCCGTAAAAAACTTGCGAAATCCAGATGCAATTTCTATACATATATCTGAATATGCGTCTCGCAGAGCTGAACCGAACGGTGCGCTTGAATTCAGAAATGATTCACTCTAGGTCAAGATATGGCGAAGCGACGTGGATTTCGCTAAACTTCGGTGGAGTTCGGTGCCTTTCTTTGATTATTGAACAGCACTATTTACCACGTAACGGTCACAGTTTTTCTTGAGGTCTTAAAGGGCGATGCTATTTCTTTCGCGAGCTTAAGTCTCCTTGGAGCTAAACTCTTTTTAGGGATATTTGTTTCAACTAATTGAGATTCAAATGTCTGCATAATTTTATGGCTCATACCAACCATTTTTGGATTTCCCATCTCTTTCAGGAGAGGGAAGCTTATTTTATTTCTTGGCTGGAACCACCATAATTTGAAAAGCTAAAATGTGTGATAGAGTTATGTAGCAAACAGAAGCCCTCCATTGCGTCTACTTCTTAAAAACAAATAGCCAAACATTTAAGAATGTTATCTGAATTACAATTACCCTGATAACAGCACTTTAGTGATGTTGTTCGTGCTTTATTTGCAGCTCTGCCTCTCAGTGATTTTTGCAAAATATCAGGTGTGTCGGCAAAATTGGTTCTATCATTTTTTTGTTCAATGGTCAAGAACCCGTAATAATAAACTTACCCAGCCAACATGGCCCTCTCTGGATTCTCGACCACTTCCGAGTTGGTATGACGAGTCGAAGTTCGGCATATTTTGCCACTGGGGAGCCTATTCAGTACCAGCTTATAAGGGGTAATATGTCATTTTGAGTTTACAAAAAGCAACTTTCAAATTTTTCTAAAGATCCGAATGGCTTTGGTGGTTCTGGAAAGGTGATAAACCCGACAAGGACGTTGTTAACTACATCGAACGTAATTTTAGACCAGGGACGACGTATGCGGATTTTGCGAGAGATGTTGGTATTTTGAGAGATTTGCATTTCGCTGAAATTTTTCAACAGCTGGTATGATGAGTGTTTCAGTTTACTGCTGAGCTATTCGACCCTAAGGAGTTTGCAGACATCGTGAAGTCGTCCGGAGCAAAGTGCGTAAGTACTGCTATGATTTTATTTATACAGTCTCCTCTAAACAGTAACTTGTGTTACTGCACTGTTTTCGGGAGTTCGCTAATCTCGAAGTACGACACAATTTCTTCCACTTTGTGAAGTCGTCTTTGTAACGAAGTTTTGATATTTTTCAAATTTTTCATCTGTTTCTTCAACCAATAAAGTGCATGTACTGGTTTGCTTTACGGCAGACAAAAGTGTGCAATTACACAAAGTGACTGTTGAGATGAGGCGACTGTAATCTCACTTCTACGTTATCTTCAAATCGCACTTATCTAATTTTTCTCAATTAAGCCTTGTAGCACGAACCATTTCTATTCGAAAAGCAATTTTTTTAGGTATTTCGTTCTAACTAGCAAGCATGCCGAAGGATTCACTCTATGGCCAACAAGGACAAGCTGGAATTGGAATTCTGTTGATGTAGGTCCAAAAAGAGACATTGTCGGTGTGTTCATTTCGTTCATTTTTGTAAGCAACACCCTTTGTAAAAGTCGATTTCTAGGAGAGCTCAGGGATGCCTTCAGAGGGACTGACATTCACTACGGGCTTTATTTCTGTCTATTTGAGTTTTTCCACCCAAAGTATCTCGACGATAAAAAATACAATACTACAGCTTACGTTGAAGTATGTCCCTACCATCTACCTCACAGCATAAAATCAATAGAATTCAGCAAGTTTCTTATCCACAACTGATGGAGATAGTGAACCGCTACAAACCAGAAATAGTATGGAGCGATGGTGAATGGGAGAAAAGCGATGAGTATTGGAAGAGCAAGGAATTTCTAGCTTGGCTGTACAACACCAGGTAGATATGAACTGTGGCCTCCAATGCACTTGGAACCTTTCACGTTTAGTCCTATAAAAGAAAACGTTGTGGTCAATGATCGCTGGGGTGAGGGCTCGATTGGCAAGCATGGAGGTTTCCTCACATTTCATGATCACTTCGATCCAGGTACGTTCACTATTTAAAGGCACTGTTTACCCGAAACGGGGTCGAGATTTTCATGCCAACAGTAGTGGGGCCCCCAACTGTTTACTTATCCAACTCGCGCTGTAAAAAGTCTTTCGAAGCGAGAAAATTGCTACGGAAATCCTCGGATGACAGAAATCGCCACGTCTACTCCCCAGAGGTGCGATAGGGGGAGCCGGGTCCCCCAAAAGTGAAGGTGGTTTCAGCTACCACTGGCCGGCCAAAAGTGAAGGTGGTAGTGTCGGACACTCACCTCCCAAAAACGTCGACGGGGGGGGGGGGGGTGCGGGGGGAGGATAGAACGGACGAACGGAGCTATCTTTCTAGGTCTAACGTCGACCCAACGGCCCTCTTTAGGGCCACAGATACGATGAATATTAAAAATATCTATAAATTTTATTTATAAAAATTTAAAATAGACGTGTTTAGTAAATGGTGTATTTGGAAGTAGAAGTTTGTTGGACTGTACGGATTTTATTAAGCAAATTTTGTTATAACGTACAGCGAAGAAAGTAGATCGATCCAGGCAGTAACGGCCGAGAATCAGAATTTCGAATAAATAAATAGTGAAAAATCATGCAAAATTTCCACTGTTATAAATCTGTTGTTTGAAGATGTCAGCAGTTGCGACTTCATAGGTTTTAAAGAGTAAATGTTGCTCTATCAGCTAGTGAAGGAATCTGGTCGATTTAAGAGATAGTCGTTGAAAACCAGAGTTCTAAAACTTTACGCCATTTTTGCGTGTTTTTTGACTGTTGAGAGTTAAACTCTTATAAATCTTGAATGTGGAAGTGTATGATGTTGCGACTTCATAGGTTTTATAGAGTAAGGTTTGCCTTATCAGAATATGTCTTGTCCGTTCCGATCCATTGAAACACTTCCGAGATCCAGAGTCATGAAAAAGCAGGTAAAAAAGAGCTTTTTGAACTTCAACAGCTCATAACTTCTTCAGGATTGCACGAATCATGTTGCGACTTCATATGTTAGATTCTTCTCGTCAAGAGCTTTCAGATGATATATAATATGTGGGGGTTTCGCGCCTCTTACGGCATATGCCCGGGGGGGGGGAGACTTTTTAGGCCAAAGTCTCCCCCGGCAGCCTCCAGCCAATACATTAAAATGGGCGAGGGGGAGACTTTGGCCTAAAAAGTCTCCCCCCCCCCCGGTCATAATTCGCAGGAGGCTCTAAACCCCCACATATTATATATCATCTGAAAGCCCTTGATGAGAGGAATCTAACCTATGAAGTCGCAACATGATTCATGCAGTTCTGAAGAAGTTATGAGCTGTTGAAGTTCAAAAAGCTCTTTTTTACCTGCTTTTTCATGACTCTGGATCTCGGAGGTGTTTCAATGGATCACGGACAAGACATATTCTGATAAGGCAAACCTTACTCTATAAAACCTATGAAGTCGCAACATCATACACTTCCACATTCAAGATTTATAAGAGTTTAACTCTCAACAGTCAAAAAACACGCAAAAATGGCGTAAAGTTTTAGAACTCTGGTTTTCAACGACTATCTCTTAAATCGACCAGATTCCTTCACTAGCTGATAGAGCAACATCTACTCTTCAAAACCTATGAAGTCGCAACTGCTGACATCTTCAAACAACAGATTTATAACAGTGGAAATTTTGCATGATTTTTCACTATTTAAATATTCAAAATTCTGGTTCTCCGCCGTTACTGCCTGGATCGACCTACTTCCTTCGCTATACGTTATAACATAATTTGCTTAATAAAATCCGTACAGTTTTGCTAAGCTTTACTTCCAAATACACCATTTACTAAAAACCTTTATTTTAAATATATATGCCGCCGTATACATAAATATATGCTTTCAATAATCTTTTTTGCGTTTGTTTTGCTTTTTTCCTTCTTTGTCGTCCAGCGAAAAATTTTTTATTCCAAAAGTGAAGGTGGTCACCCCGTACCAGCTCAAAAGTGAAGGTAGGGGGAGACTTGGCTCCCCCTATCGCACCTCTGCTACTCCCCCCCTTTGAGTGGGCGTGACGCTCGTCCCGCTCATCCGTGCGCGTCCAACCAATCACCGTCCCGAGGAAATCGCTCTGGGTGCTCTGAAACGGGTTTTTTCGTGGTTTCCGCGGATTTCCGACTTGATATTCGGAATCAGGGGTATGAGAAGCCCCTGGAACGGTAACAACATGGAGGTTGGAGAATTTTGGGTGGACGGTGCCTTCAAGGAAAAGATAAGCAAGCGATTGGGGTGACATTATTACTATTTCTGTATCTGCGCAAAGTCCCTAACCAGGTCTAGAGGGGTATGGTAAAGACAGTCAATATATGGTCCCATTCCTTACTTCCCCCTCGTTATGCCCCATTTCCAATGTCTTAAAACATCACAGCATCGGGATGATCATGCCTATTCTTGAGGGGACCATACAGATCACATATCAGACCATCTCGTCTTTTCCGGCACTTAGAGGATATGCCCTTTACCCAGTTTTCTACCTCAAAATTGTTCGATTGAAAGAATCTATTATTTGAGTATGTTGTTTATACAATGATCATAATTGGGCTGTACCTGCTTTCATGGCGATTTTTGCCCCAAATAGTCGTAACTTGCCTTAAAAGTAGCATCCAGGCAAAATATATGCTCCTCCTCGTAATATCTTGTTTGAAAGAGGGTCCCTAGCAGTAGGATACAAGCGATGGACCTGTGCTCCAATTTGGCCCCAGAATGGAGGAACTGAACCTGGAACCCACTTTCGTTAAACAACCACGGAAGCGGGTTCCAGGTTCATTTTCTCCATTCTGAGGCACGCCCTAAGTACTGAAAATCGTCAAGGGTGTGGCTTCCAGAATCTGGGCTTTTCTTGGGTTTTGCACATTTTGCATTCCATACTTGTAATCAGGTCCACGAAAAGTTCCCAATATGACAAAAACTTGGACGAATATCTGAGCGGGTGCTGTCTTTAGTTTTCTATCTTTTCAAGCTTACATAACGGTAAACTTTACACTTTCATATGTCACTCCTATCATCCCTCCTAAAAGTAAGACATAGTATGCGCAAAATATTCTTTAAATCGTCTACAAATTACAGGCAAGTTGGTAGAAAGAAAGTGGGAGAACTGCATGACAATGGACAAGTCCGCATGGGGATCTAGGCGAACAATGAAGGTAATTTTCGAAAATCAGCTTAATGATGCTTTTCAGCTAATAATTTAGAGCAGCGATGTGCGCACTGTACACGAACTTATTGAGCAATTAGCGAGGACTGTATCCTGTAACGGAAATCTACTACTGAATGTTGGTCCTGATATGCATGGCAAGATACCTCCAATTTTTGAGGATCGCCTTCGAGAGTTGGGCAGGTGGGTGGAAAATCATAAGAAATTTCACTGCGCAAACTCTAAAGGGCCGGGCATACTTCACGCGATTTCAGTCGCGACGCGATTTGGAAATTCGCCAGAAGTCTTCAGATCCAATACTATCGAACCACTTGCATAGTGTGTATAAGTTACGTGGATTGATGAAATGCTGATTAGTGATTAGTGATCCTTAGTGATTTATAGAGCGTTGGAATATTGCCAAATCGCGTCGCGACTGAAATCGCGTGAAGTATGCCCGACCCTTAAAGCAAACTATCATAGGTACTAGCAACAGCGAGGGGAAGGGGTTGAGGAATCGCTAAATTTTTGATAGTGATTTGCTCATTCACATTCATTAATATTACTAACGCGAGTAGGTCACTTTCATTTTCAAGCACTTGTAAGTATTTTTTGAAGCAATAAAACCAAGCGTTTCGAAGTCAGGATTGGAAGCCTGTTAATAAGCTTCCCAAAATCTTCCTTGGAGGGGGGTGTCTTCTTTCATTTCTGCTATAGCTTTCTTTCCAAGAAAATTGAAAAAATGTAAGACCTTAAAAAAGTGCCATTTAAGGAATTTTTGTAAATTATACGAATCTTCTTAGCTGAAATCATTCAAAATAAACACCAAATCAAATTTTCTGTGCGGTCTCAGGTTCCTTAGCGCCAACTCTGAAGCGCTTTATGGGACAAAGCCATGGATTCACCAAAACGATAGTGGAAATACTTGGTGAGACAATTTTGCTTCTTACACCATTCCAAGTCAATGTCAGATTTCCAGGTACACCTCTCGTATCTTATCAGCTACATTACCGAAAAACAGGGTATACAATCCACAAATTGAAGGACAAACCATTGTTTATGCATGGATACTAGATATGCCAACCAAAGATTTGGAATTGAAGATGGTCAAAACAACGGAGAGGGTTTGTTTTCTCTAATAATACAAAGTCTCACATTGACATTATCTTTACAGACAAGGGTCACCTTCCTTGGTACCGATCTCTCATTTGAACCAGGGGCTGGTCCATCCCTAATAATCAGGTTCATCACTATTCCATGGAGGAAATTGGCCCGCAATGATGTCATGATTTTGAAAATTGAAAACGCGGCTTCGCAAATAGTAATTACCTTTTTGTAATTATTGTGTTACGTATGACCACGACAACTATTTTCAGCGTGGATCGAAACAAGATGATAGGAGGAGAAGAATTAGAAGATTTCTAGATTTTAGCTGGACATACGATGCATTTTGATAGACTGAATATACGAAAAACATAGTTGATTTGTCATTGCGTTGACTTTTTTTCACGATAAACTCGCTTATCGAATATTGCTTTGAGCCTTTCCATTTAGAAAACCTAGACATTTTCATATATTTGAAAATTTTTGATTCAACTAATTTCAATCATATATGGGTGGTTTTAGAGCCTCATATCTCCCCAAAATTGAAACTGCTTTAGTATAAGCATGTGTTGCCTATATTGAGCACATGTTCCAACTCGAATTCATCCACAACACAATAGCCCCTTACAGTTAACATTCGATTTAACTGTTGGCGGCTGGGAGGCGGGGCTCTGTGACCTAACTAAGGCCGCTCGCACCCGCGATGCAGTCTGCGTCTCTCTCACGTGCGTACTCTCCAATCATTATGTAACCTTAATTAGGTCACGAAGCCCCGCCTTCCAGTCGCCAAGCCAGTTGAATCAAAAGGTAGATATGTGTGCCACGCACGCGAATTTGCACCATTTCTGTTCTTGAGGTCTGCTATTCCCTTCCTGTTTTCAAATACAACTGTTTGAAGACGGTTAGATGTGTTTATTGAAGGGATTTTACTAGACGTTCATAAATGAAGAGTAACAAGATGCCCTGTGCAGTAGACTTATGCACGTTCCACGTTAGGAGGATATTTTAGAACTGCATTTACAGATCTTATTTACAGGCTACGCCAAAATTACCGGCGCCAATTTTACGAACACAGCCACGAAGGGGCCACTGTGAAATACAAGCTCAGATTTGTCTCGTAGGAAGAACTATCAATCCCTAAAAGATACATTTCATTGAATTCATGAAGACCTGTTTCCAAGAATTTGTGAATCAAAAGAATCAGATTAGCAATTCCAAAAAATTTCAAAAATAAAATTTCTATACCTCCATAATTTGCTCAGTAATCGAATAGACTCAAAGCCTTTCTAAACCCTTTCAAGCTGAAGTTGTAGAGCACAATTTGCATTATCACACAGGTCAACATGCATCTACAGAATTTGTTCCTTCACGGAATAAGAAAATGTATTCGCGAAAAATACCTAAGCACGAGCAGTGCCTTATGTTCAAAATCGTTTATTAGGTCCCAGACATGCAAAACTTTCTAGGTAAATAATAGTTTCCCATTTATGAAGCACGTAGAAGAGCATATAGTTAGAAAAGATTAGCTGAGATAGTTTTGGATCTGATTTAGAAAACAGTTTCTGATCTTAAGGAGCACTCAGGAAGGCCAAAATTACACCAATTTTCCGTATGCCGCTTCATATCCATCTTTTTGAAATCAGAAATTCTCTTCGAATCGATTTTAAAATTTCCTTACTTAATTGTAGAGGCGGAAGCTTGCTCTCTACTTTCGTGCGCAATTATAAAGCAAGAGAAAAGGTTATTGAAAAGATGTTATATAAATTCTCAAAGTCTTGCTTGCGTACAGTGTACACTTTCGGTCGGCGAGAGGAAATGGTATTTTTTCGGGGTGGCGGTCAAGAATAACGATAGCTCTGCCAGCCGCTAGCTGCCAGCTGCTCGCGCACGCAAAACAGCCCGCCCTCACTCATTTAAGAAAACGAGAAAAATGACCTAAATTCACTTCTTTTCATTGAAGTTCGTTTCCTATATCAGTCATTGAAGCTTACATATTTCACATGCTGGATTAAGCTCAAAACATTTCTATCGCGTATTTATAGCGATGTGATTGCTGATTATTTCCATCATTAGAAAATAGCAGAAGCCTTAACATAAAAGCTACATAAAGAATGAACAACTTTTCGGGCATTTTTTGCTGCAAAATATAATGCCTCCGGGAGTTCGTCCGCTGCTGGGGAGGTGCTACCTGTATACCATTTATTGACGGCACAGGGGGTAATCGAGCATGCTGATTACTAACACAGCAGGAATAAGGATTTGGCATGTAGAATTGGACACAGGGAAAGGTTGTACAGAGGCAGGGATAAGACCTTTACCGTAATGTTTTGGCAAACCGGATAAACCAGCTAGTTATAATTATAAGGAAGAAATACATTCACCAACAACCTATATAAGTGTCTTTGGAACCTATTTCGTGGAACGTGCGCCACAGAACGCTTGACAAACCGCACATTCAAACTCTCATAACTCCTCCCAGACGTCGCTTGGTACACAGTGAACATATATTTGTGATCAGCGTTTCAAGACGAGTCCGATATACAGCATGTTTGGTATGGCTAGCTTAAGTTTTGACCATTTCCTGCTCAGCTCGTCGAAAGCATCATTTGCCACATAGAAGTGCCCATTTGGATACGGTACGTGCACGACAGACGGACAAATTTAATAAATTTTTGCCACGGTGGGTTTTAGTGTGCACAACGACTAACCTGCCGTAAAAAACTTGCGAAATCCAGATGCAATTTCTATACATATATCTGAATATGCGTCTCGCAGAGCTGAACCGAACGGTGCGCTTGAATTCAGAAATGATTCACTCTAGGTCAAGATATGGCGAAGCGACGTGGATTTCGCTAAACTTCGGTGGAGTTCGGTGCCTTTCTTTGATTATTGAACAGCACTATTTACCACGTAACGGTCACAGTTTTTCTTGAGGTCTTAAAGGGCGATGCTATTTCTTTCGCGAGCTTAAGTCTCCTTGGAGCTAAACTCTTTTTAGGGATATTTGTTTCAACTAATTGAGATTCAAATGTCTGCATAATTTTATGGCTCATACCAACCATTTTTGGATTTCCCATCTCTTTCAGGAGAGGGAAGCTTATTTTATTTCTTGGCTGGAACCACCATAATTTGAAAAGCTAAAATGTGTGATAGAGTTATGTAGCAAACAGAAGCCCTCCATTGCGTCTACTTCTTAAAAACAAATAGCCAAACATTTAAGAATGTTATCTGAATTACAATTACCCTGATAACAGCACTTTAGTGATGTTGTTCGTGCTTTATTTGCAGCTCTGCCTCTCAGTGATTTTTGCAAAATATCAGGTGTGTCGGCAAAATTGGTTCTATCATTTTTTTGTTCAATGGTCAAGAACCCGTAATAATAAACTTACCCAGCCAACATGGCCCTCTCTGGATTCTCGACCACTTCCGAGTTGGTATGACGAGTCGAAGTTCGGCATATTTTGCCACTGGGGAGCCTATTCAGTACCAGCTTATAAGGGGTAATATGTCATTTTGAGTTTACAAAAAGCAACTTTCAAATTTTTCTAAAGATCCGAATGGCTTTGGTGGTTCTGGAAAGGTGATAAACCCGACAAGGACGTTGTTAACTACATCGAACGTAATTTTAGACCAGGGACGACGTATGCGGATTTTGCGAGAGATGTTGGTATTTTGAGAGATTTGCATTTCGCTGAAATTTTTCAACAGCTGGTATGATGAGTGTTTCAGTTTACTGCTGAGCTATTCGACCCTAAGGAGTTTGCAGACATCGTGAAGTCGTCCGGAGCAAAGTGCGTAAGTACTGCTATGATTTTATTTATACAGTCTCCTCTAAACAGTAACTTGTGTTACTGCACTGTTTTCGGGAGTTCGCTAATCTCGAAGTACGACACAATTTCTTCCACTTTGTGAAGTCGTCTTTGTAACGAAGTTTTGATATTTTTCAAATTTTTCATCTGTTTCTTCAACCAATAAAGTGCATGTACTGGTTTGCTTTACGGCAGACAAAAGTGTGCAATTACACAAAGTGACTGTTGAGATGAGGCGACTGTAATCTCACTTCTACGTTATCTTCAAATCGCACTTATCTAATTTTTCTCAATTAAGCCTTGTAGCACGAACCATTTCTATTCGAAAAGCAATTTTTTTAGGTATTTCGTTCTAACTAGCAAGCATGCCGAAGGATTCACTCTATGGCCAACAAGGACAAGCTGGAATTGGAATTCTGTTGATGTAGGTCCAAAAAGAGACATTGTCGGTGTGTTCATTTCGTTCATTTTTGTAAGCAACACCCTTTGTAAAAGTCGATTTCTAGGAGAGCTCAGGGATGCCTTCAGAGGGACTGACATTCACTACGGGCTTTATTTCTGTCTATTTGAGTTTTTCCACCCAAAGTATCTCGACGATAAAAAATACAATACTACAGCTTACGTTGAAGTATGTCCCTACCATCTACCTCACAGCATAAAATCAATAGAATTCAGCAAGTTTCTTATCCACAACTGATGGAGATAGTGAACCGCTACAAACCAGAAATAGTATGGAGCGATGGTGAATGGGAGAAAAGCGATGAGTATTGGAAGAGCAAGGAATTTCTAGCTTGGCTGTATAACACCAGGTAGATATGAACTGTGGCCTCCAATGCACTTGGAACCTTTCACGTTTAGTCCTATAAAAGAAAACGTTGTGGTCAATGATCGCTGGGGTGAGGGCTCGATTGGCAAGCATGGAGGTTTCCTCACATTTCATGATCACTTCGATCCAGGTACGTTCACTATTTAAAGGCACTGTTTACCCGAAACGGGGTCGAGATTTTCATGCCAACAGTAGTGGGGCCCCCAACTGTTTACTTATCCAACTCGCGCTGTAAAAAGTCTTTCGAAGCGAGAAAATTGCTACGGAAATCCTCGGATGACAGAAATCGCCACGTCTACTCCCCAGAGGTGCGATAGGGGGAGCCGGGTCCCCCAAAAGTGAAGGTGGTTTCAGCTACCACTGGCCGGCCAAAAGTGAAGGTGGTAGTGTCGGACACTCACCTCCCAAAAACGTCGACGGGGGGGGGGGGGTGCGGGGGGAGGATAGAACGGACGAACGGAGCTATCTTTCTAGGTCTAACGTCGACCCAACGGCCCTCTTTAGGGCCACAGATACGATGAATATTAAAAATATCTATAAATTTTATTTATAAAAATTTAAAATAGACGTGTTTAGTAAATGGTGTATTTGGAAGTAGAA